TCTTTCCCTCCCTTTCACACAAATTGCAAACTCTGAAGCTATATCGTCCAAAAATTCTCTGTAGCCCATTTCTCCATTCAGTTCTCTGAGAATAGCTTTGTATGCGCCTCCCTTGTGCATTCAGTCTTCCTCTAGATTTTTGAGAACAAAAATCGCCCACATGTCTGCTGAACATGGGAAGCCATGCATGGATTTAATAAAATTGAAGTGGGAATCCGCAGGGACTGGTACAGAAATGGGGTATTTCTTTTCCTTTTAAAGAGTCTGATGAAAAAAGGCAGGGCCTCAGCTAGTGTAAATCAAGATCACTTTGTTAACTTCTAGGAGGATGCAAGAGCAGGACCTTTAGGTGTGGGAAAACCACAGAGAAAAAATGTCATTAATAAGTTGCTATTTGTAATCCAGGCCGTAGAGTCAGCTACAGACTTTCAAATATGAGTGTGATATTAGCCCGTTTCATTTACTGTTTCTCTTGCTGCAGTGGTTACGCAGACTGAGCGCAGAGAGGTAAAGATGGGTGACAACGTGACTCTGAGCTGTATCCTGACAGAGCCCAAGGATGTTCTGCAAGTTACGTGGCAAAAGGACTCTGGAAAATCACATGATAATATAGCTACGTACAGCAACATAAAAGGACTAAAGATTCACGAGCCCTTTCAGGACCGAATGAATTTCACAAGTCTGGTTCTCAATGAAACAAACATCACTTTCTGGGACGCTAGAATGGACGATACAGGATGTTACACATGCCTCTTCAACGTTTTCCCTCTTGGCTCCTTCTCGGGACATACCTGCCTGAGTGTCTTTGGTGAGGCTCTCTAGAGGAAAACGTCTCTACCGGAAAGCGAGATGTTTTCCAAGCCCCACAGCATTTCCTTCAGGGGACTCACACTCCAGTGGTAGGAGCTTTTCACATGGGACGCGGCATAGAAATAGAGCTTTATTACAGTGAGCAGGACTCTGTGGGGTTGTATTGCCTGTTGTGCTTTTGAGTCCTGAGCTGTCATTTTTCTTTATTCTGTGAGATCTCTGTGCAGCCCCCAAGCAGTCCCAGCTAGAACACGTGCAGACCAGCACCGCTCATTGCGTGTCCTGTGGGTGCCAGGTACGACTCCAGACCTGTGAGCTGCCATGCCGAACCCTATCATTGATGGGGGGGTTGGCAGGCAGGAGAACAGCACAGACCAAAACGTGGTTTTACTTGACAAATTATTTTAAAGTCTGGGATTTCATATTGAGTGAAACTTTTGCGGTATATCATTTCAGTGTAAGGGGAAGAGCATTGAGTCCTAGGGAAGACCTAGGCCCATGTATTTTTCTTGCGTTCCTACGCTACGGGCCTGTGTGAGAATTCAGAGAGCTCTGCTCTGGTTGATACTGGTTAAGTTGCTATTGCTGCTTCTGACCGGGTGCTCTCTGTGGTGATGGATTGTTTCATTTGTGTTTTGGAAGGTCTCAATGCATCTGTCCATTACAACATTTCCGAAGGGCGTTTGACAGCCATCTGTAATGCTGTTGGCCTCCCAGAGCCCACCGTCAGCTGGAGCGGCTTGTTCAACTCTACTCCGACACAGGAGGAGGTCAGGCACACCAATGGGATGGTGTCTGTCACCAGTAAACTGGAGCTCTATGACACGCGGAGCCTCAGGGAGCAAGAGTTGACCTGCAAAGTAAGCAACAAGAATGAAGAAATGGAATTGCCCGTGAAAATGAGAAAGGGTGGGTGAATGATACAAGTTACATGTTAGCGTTCTCTTAGCCTCCGTCTTTTGCACTAGCTTGTTTGGATCTGCTGTGAAAGAGAAGGAGTGAGATGTGTGTGTGGCAGGTAAGAAGGAAGGAACTCCTACTCTGCATCTATCCTTGAGATAGCAGTACATCGTGGTGGTCACCATGATGGAAAAAAGCCAAACTCATCAGCTACGGCGCTAGGGGTTTGAGAGCCACCATGCATTCTGTAGCAAACTGAAGCTTAGTTTTCAGATGGGCCTTTCTGCCTTCTTTGACAGTTCAAAGACGTGTATTAAGTGAAAAATATTTATATTAAGTGGTGATATACAGTGATGATTCCACCACTCTGTGGGTGGAAGCTTGCCAAAGTGGAAGTTTGGAAATTAATAGCAGATTATCTTTGAACAACAATTAATCAAATTTCCCAGTTAAACTTGTTACCTATTTTGATACTGCATTCGGGTAACCTGTGTAGTATATTTGAATTTCCCTGACATTTTTACTAAGATAAGCACACATTGCAGCAATCATCAGGGAAGAATAGTTTTTTCAGGCAGACAGGGAGATGATCAGTTGTAGATACTTGTACTAGTTTTATGGGGAAATCTTAAATGCGTCACTGTCGCATCTAAACTCCTTGCAGTGCCAATTTATTTCTTCTTCCAACATTCTGCTGCGCTGTAATGATATGAGCCCAGCTCTACGGATAAGAAAGAAAAACTTTGTAAGCTTAAGTACCAGCCTGAGTTCACTCAGGAACATTATGTTATAGCCTGATTTAAAATTCAGATGTCCCCAAGTCCAGAGCCTTCAAGACCATTTTTCCGCTTTGCGGAAATTAGGAAGACAGGAGAAGCAGTTTGAGACTGTGGATTAAATCCCTTAGTGAGTGCTAAGTGAAAAGTGATCGTTCTAGGAGAAATAGCAAAGAAAAAGATCTGACTTTTGAAATTTCTTATCAAAAATTTTCAAGCAAATTAGTTCCTAATTCTTAGTGATGATAATTGAAAAATCATAATAAATCTTTTTATCTATTTCAAATGCAGTGTTCTTTTGTTTGGTTTTGTTTGAAAAGGAAATGGGTATCTGAAAGCATCTGAAACTGAGATTGCTGTTATTCACTGCCAGGAAAATGAAAAATCAGTGAATAGCCCACTGTTTTAGCAATCTAGCATTTCAGAGACACAGACATTCAAATGAAAAGTTGAACCTTGCTATGCTAAAAGTCATCCTAATTTCAGCTTGATACAAATAAATTTTAGTTCAGTAAGTTTTCCCACTGACGTCAAGTGAGCTTTGAACTGAGCCTTCATATTCTTATTTTGATTAATGACAATCAAATGAAGTGGCTAATGCCTGACCCGAGAGGATCATTTGCCCTGGAATGTTGGTTAGAGCTACTTGCAGGCTTCAAAACCATGGGCGTACTTTCTTTTTTGAAAGTTAATTTAGTCTTTGCAACAGTGATAGAAATGTTTAACGGTAGAAGAAGTATCTATTATTTTGCAAACAAGAACTTGGATTCTGGGGGAACAAATACAGTCTTCAGGAAGCGTTAAGACTTGTATGAAGTTCTGCTTATGTACATGTGCCAACTGTCACATCAGGGATGGGAAGTGACAGTTTTCTTTGCTGTGGATGAACTCAAGCACATCACTTTTTGACAACGCGTTTTCTGGAAAGTGGTAGGCAAGCATGTTTGTCTTTGAAGATAAACACACTCTCTCTTTTGAGCAATTAAAACTTTCACAAAATCTCAGTTAGGAGCCATTGCCATTAATCAGACATTCTCTTGACTTTTTTTGCTCATTTTTCCTATATAAATCATCTTTGTTTCTTGTTCTTCACAGAAGAGTCATTCTCATTCCTTGGGCTGGTGATTACTCTGGGGGTTTTACTTGTCATCTTCATTCTGATCGTGATTGCAGTGTTGTGGAGGAAGAGGATATGCAAGAGGGGTCAAAGGGGTGAGTCACCTATTGCATGGAAACATGACAGTTTGCACAGCTTGCAAGGTCTTGCAAGGTGTCATCTACACAGAAAAGTGACACTTCACTGAGAGATCGTTAAGGGCTATGACACTGTCATATTGGACAAGTAAGCTTCCTAATAATGTGACTAAAATTATTAGAGGTTGCCTCAGTACCGTGTAATTTTAGGAGCTGTTTTCCTGCTCTTACTGCCAAGGGGCAATACGTGACTACAGATTAGGAGAGGAGATTACAGATTACAAGCTGCAACGCTGCTAGGCCAGGCCAGGCTGCGTAGCTTTAGATGAGGCTGAGGTTGTTAATGGACCTGCTGGTATGACCCCTTGCTAATTAGCAGTTCCCCAGGCAGTGCGTGCACGTGGTTCCAGCAATGGCATGTAACAGGACCATCCCCAGTGGGCAGTGTGTGGTTAGCTTTACAGCTAACTCTTCACCCTATACAGTCCACTGCGTTAGCAGGCTTTGGACCCTTGAGCCGTCTCATACATCCTTGTGCCGTGCTGTGCGAGACAGTTTCTTGCTGCGAAGACACCGCTGAGAGGCACAGCAGCAGAGCCTGCACATTATTTTGGATATTTTGAACAGAACCCCCTTCCCACACAAGCAAAAACGTACATAAGTCTGAGGTACACAGCATTACCGTGGGGGCCCAGAAGAGACCTGCAGTCAAGTGCTGAGCAGTGGGCTCACTCTGAGCTCATTGGCTCTGGGGCCAAAAACAGTCTTTGACTTTAGTTTCAGTAGTGCAGATGTAGCCAGAGTCTGCTGAAGTGAGAGAAACCATGTCTTTATGAGTGCAGACAGATTCTCTTCAAAAATTTTGAGTGTGGGCTGAATTAAAGTGAGGGGCAACATATTCGGGATATTTGTTTTCCATACAGTCTGTTCTCTCTTTTCCTACCTGTTAAGTAAGGAGGTATTGCTAGAGATGTTATTTCAAAATTGTCTCCCACGTCCTTCTTGTGGTGGGCCTGGAGGTTTACACCTTGAAGAATGTAACTGGCAGTGGCCAATGGTCACGTTTGCTGTGATTTTAAGAAATGGCGTACTGCTGCTCCCAGGAACGGCTGAGAGGATGGGCTGCTAGGACACAGGTCACAGCATTTTATAAAGTCTAGACATTGGGTTGGTAGTCTAGTGCCTGCCAGGGCATGTGTGGGTAGGGGTAATGTCTGGGTGCTGCTTAGATTCTTCAGGTTAATAGGGCTGGATCCCCTGTCCTGGTCTGTGGAGGGTGTGAAAGCCAGTTCAGCCAGACAAGATTACTCAAAGCCTGGAAATAAGTGAGTGTGCTTGTTTGGTTTCAGGTGCCAAACCTAGATCAAAGAAAAATAGGATGAAAATTACACAATATTTTGGGTATTCTGGTTTTCTACTCCCGGAATCAAAACCGAAAACCTTCATTTTGTTCCATGTGAAATGTTCCTTTTTGAAAAGTAATCCTTTGAGCACACTTGTAAGGAAAGCATAAGAAATAGTAAAGCATGATGTGTTTAAACTCAAAGGGCTGTGCCCCTGCTTTCTTAACTACTAGCTTAGAGGTTAGAGAGCTCCCCATGTCTGCAGGGAAGTGGGCTCTCACATCCTGCTGCTCGGGGAGCATCTGGCTCCCCAGCCTCATGCATGTCCTGGTGCGTCGCAGCGTCAAAATTTTATGTAAATAAGCGTTCACTGGAGCAGAGAGGGTAAGTCAGGTAAGCAGTGTTTAACAGTGGATGTAAGTTTGTTGCTTGAGAGCTTATCGACAGAAGCGGATTTTTAGGGACTTCAGTTGTCAGTGCTCCTTCCTACTTACAGTGAGTTGTGATTAACTGTGGTGCCAGGGTGTGACTTCGACAGGAGCCTTTGAAGGCTTTTTGCCTCTGTGTGTTTTTTTTTTTTTAAGTAAGCTTAAGTTTACTTTAAAAAGTGGTTTTAAGTTTAGCTTGTGTCAGTCTTGTTCTATGTCTTTTCAGTTGCTCCTCAATGTTTACTTTTGAAAAATGTAATGCGCTGACTCTGATTCCTTTCGCATAAAGGCAACATTACTTTATCCAAAGTAATTTTGACCAGCTGGTCCCCTTGCTTTATAAGCTGGCCAACATAGGTAAACATGTATAGTCTGTCTTCCTAGTGTACATCCGTTTCCCTGAAAGCCTCATCGGTTAGCCTGTTGTAAAACTCTAACCCTGGTGCAGTTTGATTACCCTATCACTACCTGATTTTTCTGGTCGCTCTTTTTTACCCATTGCTAAAAGTTACGTACTCTTTGTCTTGTATATGATTCCACTGTAACCTTCCCAGCCAAATCCTTAGTACGCAAAGGATAGCTGTGGAGCTACGGTAAGTTTTAACACTATGTTTAGAACGTCTTACCGCGCTAGAGCTAGTGCATTTTAACGAGGATATCCCGTACTCCTCTTTATCTTGCCTCTAAGCAATGCACATTAGACCCAGGCCTGGTTTTGCGGTGACTTGGTTTTTGCCTGATCATCTTTGAAATTTGTCTATGGTCTTTCAAGCATTGGTTACAGCAGAGGAAACCGAGAGAGCGTAGCATTTGGTGGGAAGCCCTTCTCCAGGCTTGTCCTGTAGTATCCTCATATATTCTGTTGGAATGAGGAACAGAGCCCACGTACATATTTCTGGACATAGGTCTTACAACAACACAAAAGAGAGCTAACAGCACTGACTGAGGGATGGCAATTACTCTCTGGGGCTGTTTTCTGGAATTTCAGTGCTTCTTTTCATTCTGCACTAGATTGAAAGTGACGCCTTTCCAGTTTTGTCAGCATGTCTGGTTTTTCTAGCCTGAAACAGTGCCTTTTTATCTGGGCGGCTGGGTTACCCTTCTCTGTCACAGATTCTGCTGTACTGCTGCTGCTGCTCAGAGGAGGGTGGGTTTTTTGGTTTCTTTTGTCTGTTGTTGCTTCACCCTCCCCATGGCAGACATTTGAGAATCGGGTGAGGAGCTGGAGCTCAAAACTGTTTTCCCATACCTCCGGCATTTGCCTTACGTTCCAGGTAACAGAGCGTACATGTATTTTGCTTCTCTCCAAAACCATATTGAGCGAAGCATTTTCACAAAGCTGGCGAAACATGGTTTATCTGGAAACAAACTGAGCAGTCTTTGTGGCAAGAGCTGACACAAAAGCATCAAAAACTTGAATCTTCATCCTCTGCCACGCACAGAGGCACACCTAGCCATGCCTATCACTTGAGTAAGTGCAATGAGCAGACTGCTAGCACCTGCACATGTCTACCAGTGTAATTTCCCCTGTGCCAGAGGATTTTTCTGTGGTGCTCTTTTTTGGTAGAAAGTGGCACCTTTTCCTAAGTGGTTCGGCTAATAAAGCTGAACTGAAGTCCGCACCAATGTAAAGCAATCTGGTTGCAAACTCCTGCAAGCCAGGTATCTGGACCTAGAGCCTGTTAGTCTGAATAAACTCCTGTGTCTCCTCTGTTGCACACATGTCTCAATCTAGACACTCTCCACAAGCACCAGCTGTTTCTTCAAGACCTGCAAGAAACTCATATTTCCACCCAGGCAGCTAAGAAGCTTTACAGTCAGTGCAAAGTGTTTTCTAGAGGCTTGTAGTGGTCTGTGAGAAAGGTTTATTTCAGAACGGATGTCTATACCAATATTATATTTTTAGCATGGTTGTGTAAATAAGAAGAACTGGTCTTTCTTGGGTGGCCTCCGTACGTTTTGCCATGTGCAAGGTTTGAAAAATAGAGCAAATTCCGGTTGTCCAGGAGTGCTTGCAACTTACACAAGCTCTCCGTTGCTTTGTTTTTGTTTACACTAAAGATGAGAGCTATTTCTGGAGGAGCCATTTTACCACTATTCCCTAGTGCTTATTCAGTTTGGTCAAGGCTGAGACAAGATCGTTGATAAGTTTCATCTGAAAAAATTATCTCAGTTCTTTTTTTATCTGTTTGACTTTGCTTGTTTCTTCAGTGGATTTACTTTGATACGCAGCTATGTTTTTCTTGATAGCGAGGGACCTCACAGTTGTGAGCAACGCAGTCACAAGTCAGTGTTAAGAGACTTTTCAAAATCATTTTTGCCAAGAGCGACAGCCGAATATCAGCCTTCCAGGTGATGAACTCAGTGCAGACCTGTGTCGTGAGCTGACTGGGTGACACCCTCTCTGCTCCCAGAGCAGTGGGGCGCAGGCAGCGTTGCTGCAGCTGGGGAGTCCCCTTTTCAAAGCACCGTGGTTTCCTCTCGCATGGGGCTTTAGCATGAGTGGAGGTTATATTTGTCCTGTTTTGAAATAGGATTTGAAATAACAAAAATATACTGAAAGTTGTTTTGCTGACAGCAAGCAGCCTCGTTCCTTTCCCCTTCTTACCCGCCCCCCCGCCAAAGAAAAAAAAGAAAAAAAACCCGCAGAAAACAACCAACCCAGCCAAAAAGCCCTACACAGACTTTCAAAAAAAAAAAAAGGCTGTACAAAGTTTTTGGCAGAGGGGCAATTCTGATGCCAGCTTGCCTGCAGACGTGGACATTTCCCAGCGCAAGCACCACACAGGGTGCTGGCGGGGTTTGATGGCGTGCTGGCTGCAGACAGCTCCCATTCCCCAGCAAGGCCCCTCGGCCTTTGCAAGCAGAAAATGCAGATGTGCCCCCTGCTCCCAGCTGTGCTCATTAACGAGCAGCTAATTGATGGCACGTGGGTGGGCTCCCTGTCCAGCCCAGGTGGGCAGTGGGGGGGGTCAAAGACCCGGTACTGCTGGTGACCCTGCTTAGTCCGGGGAAGCTGGTCAGGGAAGTTGCAGGTAGCTTTTTGGTTTTCCACTGCCCCAAAAGGGACCTGGCCCTGCGTGTTCGGGGCTGTTTGCACAGTAGTGCTGTTTTTGCCTGGAGGAGGAAATAAAGCCTGTTTGCCCTGATGAGATAGGGGTACTGACACAGGAAAACTTTCAGAGTTTGTCCTGCTTATCTAAAGGAGAGATGAGTAACCAGATATTGCGAGAAACAAAATCCCTCTTCTGTTTTTGCAAATGCGGGGGATTTTGCTATGTGTAATTAATGCAATTTCTATCCCGTGCATCATGTCTGTGCACTGATTTCACTATGAAATGATTTTCTGGGCCTTCTTTCTTCTTTTCTTTCAAACAATAGTGCTTTGTGTGCAGCCAGAAAATGGCTGGCAGCTGAAATGTTTTCATGCTCTTATGTTTACATTAGTTGCCTTTTTTAAAAAAAAAAAAAAGTTTTTTTGTTTCCACGGTTGTACTATAGTTACTGTAGGTTTTCCTCTGGCAATCAGAAACTCAAATTTACGTGTCAGTTGGTATTCGTGTAATATATATTTTTATTTGTTAATACCTTTTTCAACAATGTACTTCTCTCCGCACTGGTAGCGGTAAAGTTACCAGAGGGTAACATCTTTTGGCAGCTACAGCGAAGGATATGATTGTCAGCTGGCTCCTGAGGCACAATGGTTTGTAAAGCAAAGCCGTACCATACCCTCCGCTAGTAGCGAGTGCCGTTGCATGGCGTGTTTGCTAGCTGGGTCATTGTCACCAAAGAGAAAATGCCATTGCACAGTACTGTACGCATGATACTTTCAGAATTGTCATTTTCAGGCTTTTTCAGAAATATGCTCTCGGGGGCTTTCTCTCCCTTTAAGAGAAATGAGGGAGAATCGGATAAGGCATTGGCTCTAGTGAACTCAAGAAGCAAGGGGGAAATGGAGGTCGAAGCCTGTTTTAGGGGGATGCATGACTCCACGTGCAGCAGGGAAGTCCTACGGTTGTTGTTCCCCACAGTACAGTTTTGTGGCAGTTCCTCCCCGCTTTCCCCATGGTGTATCACCCCGCGCTGTTCAGCAAGACTGGAGGAGGCAACACAACGACCATGATTCATCCTTTTTTCCTGTTTTTCTTTTGTTTTCTAGGGTTCTAGAGGATTCCCATTCACCCACCAGATCACTACAGCGTAGCAGCCTGAAGTCGGCCTTAAAAGCAGCGACTTGCATGGCTGGAAAGTAACAACGGTCAAAGGGAATTACATCAGGAACAGAGCACTACCCTATATAGACACCATGCTGATCGCTGAAAGATTAGCGCAATGTTTGTTACCCAATCCAGATACTTAATTATAGCAAGTAGGACCAGGGGGAACGTTTAGTCAACTCCTCTGCTGCTAGGCAAAATCAGCTTGCCCATGCTGTTTTTAGTGTCACTAGTCTGCAAAATGTACTGGTCGTCTTCCAGCTGAATTGTGAAAACCTCCAGGGTTGGAGGCTCTGCAGACTCTCTAGGGATGCTCTTCCAGTGCTTAATAGCCCTCACAGTAAAGACAACTTTTTTTTTTTTTTTTGGGGGGGGGGGGGGGGATTTTTTTCTATAGCATCAATCTGCAATTTCACTTGCTGCAACTCTACATCCAACGTCCTCGTCGTGTCATGTGCTTCTCTGCTCTTCTAGCCAGCTGATCTGATATTTTTCAGGCTGTATCACTTAGCTCTCCCTAGAGCGGCCGGCTGCTACAGGACTCTGATGGCACCAGATTTGCCAGCGGCCCTGCGAAAGAGCAGTAGGGCTCCAGGCAGGTGGCAGTTTAGAAGCAAGAGCAGCCACAGCTATGAAAGTAGTGTTTTAAATAATGGGATTTTTTTGGGCTTTTCTTATAATTCTGTCTGCTCTAAAGCATGTAAGTGAGGAGAAGCAGAAAGCACAGCCCGGTGGAATTGGAAGTACTGGCATCCCCCTTTTGCATTTCCTTTCTGTTTAACAGTGGTTCTCTCCCTGTTTTTCTGTTAACATCACAGCCCACTGCTTGCGTAGCTGCCAAAATGCAGGGACTGAGCTGCTGGGTGGTTCCCGTGGTTGTCGTCGTGCGCACTGTCTAGAGCGGTCTCCCCTGTCCCGATCCTTGCATGTCGTTTGCCTTTGAAAGCAAGCAAGCTGCTCTGCTGGCCAGGAGTAATTATTCCCTACTTTGACTTTGCCATGTGAGATGTTTCACCCGGAGCTACCTATCGTGTGTCACTACTGTGAACTTAATGGTATCAACAGCAAATTTGACAGAGGCCGAGTTTGCTGAAGTGCTGTGTTTTCAGTAGTCAGTAAGGGCACTGTGCTACTGCTGCAAGCTGGGAGGTAACCCCGCTTCTGCCCCCAGGGAGCTTCCCAGCTCCTCTCTGCTTTTTATTCCTGTTTGCGCCTAAATGCTTGCACATGGCCGCTGGTCTGACCATTTCCAGGTGCGACGGTCCTGCCTGTCCCACCGGCTGTGCCACGCGGCTCGTGAGAGCAGATGGCTGCCGGGCGCTGCATTGCGGCTCGACTTGATTTGCAAGAGGTCAGAGCCTCCGTTTGCCCTGCGCCTCCTGGGGCTTGGAGAGGGCTCAATGCACGCTTGCCAGTGGAAGCGTTGCTAAAAACAAGCCTACCTCTGGGCATACCAACTGCACGGCCCGTTTTACTGGCAGATGGGAGGACCGCGGGGAGTCTTCTGGGAATCTTTGTTCTACTGGTGAGTGCTAATGTCTAAGATGTGTCTCCATCTTCCATTCCAGCCTAATATTTGTCATCCTATTGGGATGGCGACCCGTATCCTCTTGCCTGTTGAATTTGATTAGCCCTTTTTTTTGTGCATCTGTAATACTCTGTTGTATTAAGCGTATAATATTTTGGATTGTGCTTTTTATGTCATATATTAATCAAATACACCTACTGTCTATCTAAGCATCAGTGGGAAGATTTAGCAAATAGGAGACTTATGACTAACTGTTTCAGAGTGAATTTTTTTTCCTTAGAAGGTGTACAGTCAGAATATTATCTTCCAGAATGGCAGCCTCTTTAGAGTCTGGCAAAAAAACTGGTTTATATGTCCATGTGTATTATTGAGGGCATGATAGGGGTGATATTTGCTGCTACTATTGAATCAGCAACTTGGCTATTTTGCAGGTGCAATACAATATATTTATATATTTTATTTTTTAAATTGAAGAAATTTGATCAAGCCAAAACATCCTGTCCCATTTTTTTCCTGCTAAAAATAGTTGAAGTGAAAAAAATGTTTCATTCTAAGTTATCCTTTTTTTTTTTTTTTTTAAAGCTTTGATTTAAACTTTCCTTCCTTTCTGTGCAGAAAGTGGGACTTCAAGGTTTTTGCCTTGGTTTGTTCGGGAGATTTTTTTTTTAGTGTTTTTTCTTTTTTTTTCCCCCAAAGTTTTTTTGAGCAAAGTAAGTTTTGGAATGAATTTTAAAAATATATTTGACCAAAGCAGTTGCAGTGTGCTTCAGATTTGAAAATGATGGGTGGTCAATCAAATTATAATTTTATATATTTTTAGCAATCTGGCATGTCTCGTGTTTGCTGCTTAATTATTCCTTATTTGAAGTTGCATCTTCTGCTGATATATTGACTATCTTGTCTTGTGTATTTGCCTTTGCTGAAAAGAAGCCAAATAAAGCAACTTTGAAAGTCAGGCTGTATGATTCCTTTCGCCTGTAAGTGGCACCCACACCATGTGTGGGCCTTTGTAAATCAAATAGACTTAACCCAAGCAGGTTAGTACCCAAGATGAGACAAGCATCGTGCTTGAGCTGCAAGTGTGTGATCAAATCCCTTGTAAAAGGCAATAAGGCCTGCTGTATTCATAAGGACGTATGACCTTTTGTGGTGAATTGTGAAACCACAGTGATTTTTGTTTGTCAGGGCATCAGCCTATACTTTCCTTCTTAAAAGATGTGATGGCGATAACTTGGTTCTGGTTAAAAAGTCTGCCTAAAGGTCTCAGAGCGGTAGAGTTATGTCCTATGTTTCACAGTATTAGTGAAAGGCAGCAATTTCTTGCTTGTCTGAGCTCCACCAGTAGGTAAAGTAGAATTGGCCATGATTTCCAGAGAATTTGAGGCTGCGACATACACTCCCACTTATAGATTTTTGGAGGAAACAAAAATTCTCCTGCTGCTGATGGTTCATGAGGAACGTCCTGTTGGATGCTGGCCAGAAGTGAGGGTCCCATTGCCCTGTCCTGTTGCCCCCTCCCTTGCCCAGCATGCCGGGAGGGACACGAGGCCCGGTGGCACCGAAATGGTGAGCCTTGCCTTAACAGGGCAAAATGACCACAGAGAAATAAAGTCAACATGCGGGGGGACTGCTGGCATGGCAGGGCGAGCTGGAGGCTCTGTGTAAGGAGTTGCTTTTTTGGCTTACGGCCTGCTCCTCAGAGACTGTCAAGATGTTTGCTTCTCTGCTAAAACAATTGACAGCAAATTGTTTAGTTCCTACAGCTGTGTCCTCTCTTTGTGTGCTTTTCTTCCTGGCAGGCTCAAGGCTACTATTACTCTAAATCTTGAATTAGGCTAACATCTGGGGCAGGAAGGTGAGGGCTCGGCTGGAGATAGTGGTTTCCGTGTGCGGCTGTGCCGACGGGAAGAGACAGTCGTCAAAACCCTGGCACGCAGGCCTAGGGTTCCTGGTGGGGAAGGAGGAGTTTGCAGAAGAAGTATCACTTGTGACAGCACAACAAAGATGACTTTCTTGCCTCAGCCGCTTTCGCATTGCTTGGCCACGTGGGTGTCAGCTCCATTGCTCCAGCTGCCTTGAAAAAAGGACAAACACATGCTGGAGCTTTTTTATTGTATCCTATCCTCCTCCTTCACTGATCCATGAACTTTCCTTCTGCACAACCTATTTTCAGTTTCCTAAGCTGAAAAATAGACTTTCTGGATGTCTGTGGGTGCCTCTTGCCAGTCTATCGCCCCGTGTACCTGCCTGCTTGGCTCCTTGGCCACCCAGTGCCCGGCTGGTTCCCTGCTCACTGCAGCAGCGGGCACCAGGAGAGCGTGGCGGCAGCTGTGCTTCTCGTTCTGCAACACAATGAGATGTCAACGGAGGAAGTGCAGAATAATTTTAGAAGCTAGGAGGATGTAGGGTATTTTTCTGTGTGTTTTTTTTTTTTTTCCTTAAGATGGTCTGAAGCTACCAACAAATTTGGCACTGGGCAAGAATTTGTGTGTCCATGACTTCTATTAAACACCCAAAGGGGCTTAAAGAGCTTCTAAGTTAAAATAATTAAAACTATGTATTTCTGAGGCCATATGTAGTTAGCAATATTCACTTTTTGCATATGGGTATCACATGCTCTCTCCTCTCAGGGACCACATGCCGTTTTTCATTCTGATGAGGAAGTTTCTCTTTCTATGGTCCTAATCTCAAGACATCCTGCTGTAAACCTCCACTGCCTTCTGTAGCTATATTTCTGTAGGGTCGGCCTCCAAATGGTGTGCTGATCATTTTGTGTGCCAAAAGAAATTCCTTTACAAGTTTTTCCAGCATGTTGGAAAGCTCACCAGCGCTAGGGCATAGATGGTTGGCGTGTCTTTTGGCAGTCAGCAGCTTTGATGTGTTGTCTTCAAGAAATCTGACTGGGCAAGGTCTCAAAAAGACTATCTATCCCGCCTTACTAGGAAAACATGAACTATAACACGGGCTACGAGTTTTCCAGTGAGCCCTCGCAAGTTGCTGTAGTCTTTGTGCTGAAGCACAGAAGAAAATTTGCAACTACCCTGTGCCTAGAGAATCAATATCTTCTATGTGGAGTTGGGACCCTTTTGCCCTGCAGTATGGAGGGATGGCTCGAAGGCGATGGAAACAGTGGGCACTCGGCACTGTGGTTCATCGGGAGCCCCCAACGTGCCCCGCCGGTGAGAGGGACAGTTGGCCACCAGGATGGGCAGAATGGAGCAATATGGAGCAGGATTCCAGCCCTGGCATCGTTCATCTGCGTTTCCTTAAGAAAGCTGAGGAGTTAGATTTCCTTACTAATTGCTATTCAGTAAATCCCTTCTGGAGAACAATATAGCTGAGTGTAGGAGGTTGACAAAGGAAGGAAATGACTGTTTCCCACTGCTTATTTGAAATGAGGTTTAAGCAGGTCATTTCTTTTTAGATGAAGCATATATCATTACAGTCTGGCTCTTCTGGCAGTGGTATCACAGAATCACACAACGGTTGAGGTTGGAAGGGACCCCTGGAGATCATCTAGTCCAACCCCTCTGCTCGAGCAGGGTCCTCTAGAGCACGTTACCCAGGACCGTGTCCAGATGGCTTTGAACACCTCCAGGGAAGGAGACTGCACAACTTCTCTGGGCAACCTGCTCCAGTGCTCAGACACCCTCACAGGAAAGAAGTTTTTCCTCGTGTTCAAACAGAGCTTCCTGCGTTTCAGTTGGTGCCTGTTGCCTCCCATGCTATTGCCGGACACCACGGAGAAGAGTCTGGCCCCATCCTCTTGACGCCCTCCCTTCAGATACTTACACCCATTGATCAGATCCCCCCTGAGCCTTCTCTTCTCCAGGCTCAACAGGCCCAGCTCTCTCAGCCTTTCCTCATAGGAGAGATGTTCCAGTCCCTTCATCATCTTTGTAGCCCTCTGCTGGCGCCATGTCTCTCTTGCACTGGGGAGTAGCGCCATGTCTCTCTTGCACTGGGGAGCCCAGAACTGGACCCAGTGCTCCAGGTGAGGCCTCGCTAGGGCTGAGTAGAGGGGCAGGATCACCTTGGCAGTGCTCTTCCTAATGCAGCCCATGTAGGTTAAGAAACTATTTAAAAAGTGCTTAATGTATTTCAGTTAGTGAACATACTGTGAAAGTTTGATGGATTTTTATTTGGTATCACCCAGCCTTAAAGTGCACCTGATTTCACCTCCTTCCTTCCTGTTTATGTCCTTCCTCTGATATGTGTCCTTCACTGTCCTCTGATCCCTTGTTCCTCCCAGCCCTGAACATCTCTTTTACTTCCCAGTCTTTCTTTTGCTCTTTGCTGAGGATTTTCTGCTATTTTCTGGCTGGCTGGCTGGTCCCTTTCCCTCTCTGATACCAGAGTATTTACAGCAGTTGCTCCACCATGTGAAGATATTGTCTTCTCCCTGGTTCGCAGTAGCCCTGTGGTAAAAGTAACCCTGATCCTCGTCCTTATTTCCAAACCAGAAAGGAGCTCTTTTAGGAGAGGTAAATAACCCATATGGCAGCTGACAGATTGGGGAAAACCAGATGCAGCCGCCTGCTATTCGGCCAGCAGCAGGAGCTCCCTGCAGAGCTGGGATGCCTGGCACCTGCGATGCCCTGTTGTCTTCTCTTTCTCCTGGCTCCTCGAGTCTCCCATCCAGATACGTGGAAAAGGTGAAGTGAGTAATGTAACCTGTGTTCCCTTATGGAGAAAAAGGGAAGCATATTCCACTGTTACACTTGTGCTAAGCTAGATTTATAGTAAGCAGCTGGGGCGGCCGGCAGCGCAGTGGTGCTGTGCTGCAGGGCTGCTGCAGGTGCCCTGCTGGCTGCCTCCAGCCAAGCACTGTGCCCTCCTCTTCATGTTTGCTCTGTATCAATGTGAAACGCTCTCCTCAGTCTTGCCCCGTGGCTGTTCTTTAACAACTGCTTTTTGGCCGTAGCCGTAGTTTGCTGTGGCTTAGTAGGAGGTGAAATGATTCCTGTTTTGTATTCGGACGAAAACTTAATTTATCATGAAGCTAAGGCAGCAAAAAGATGACTCCTCCTACAGCAAGCTTTAAAAGAAAGGAAGTGATTGTTGAGGGAACTTCTTTTTTTGAAAGTTTTCTGTATACACGATATGTTATAAATCTCATAGCCTAACCGCACAGCTAACAGAAAAAAAATCCCCTTTGCTATCCAAAGACTATGGGTGCGCAAGTCTCAGAGTCTTTGGCCTTGAAAGGAATGAACATTCCTAATGCTTGCTTGGGCCTTTATGTTTTTCTCTACATACAGGGACAGGTGAGAAGAGATAGATGACATGTTTTCTAGTCTACGTGGAAAAACAGGACTGGAGTTAAATGAAGGTGACTTTGTGCCGTGTCTGGTAAGATCTCAAACAAATTGTTCAGGGATATTTTTGCCCTGAACTGTGCAGCATTTACTGGGATCCTAGACTGATATTTGAATGTTAGGATTTTTAGGAATTTTGTTGTCATGTTATCATAGACAGGCTGGGAGTGCTGCTGACTAGAGTTCATCCATCGTGAGCAGCTCATCTCTCTGTTCCTCTCTTCCTTCCCCATCACTCCCGCCCCTGTGAAGCTCTTCCCAATCTGTAGCTGAGAAGCCCACCTTCTAAAGATGTTTAGCCCCTTCACTGCCTAAATCGTATTGCAGATTACAGTAATAACCATGAACCATCTGTTTCCCATGTGCTTTGGTGGAAAGAGAAATTCCCATTCTGCCGGTGCTGAGGAGCTGCATTTTGGCATAGCTGCAGCGAATGCTGGCCACGTGAGAAATTAGAAAGTATTCCTCAGCAGGCCTCCTTTTGCGTGAAAGTCATATTTTTGCTGGAAGGGCTAAAATCCCAGCAGGAGAAGAAAAGGCACAAGTTCATTGAATGCATGTAAGAGTTGGTTGGCCGCCTACCAAGAGCAAGAAACGCGGAGAGGGAGCCCATCTCAGCTGCGTCCACCACCTCTGGATCAGAAGGGGCCAAGCTG